GGGTGGGCCAACTCAATATTGAACCCTACGGACTAAGACTGGGATGCCATTAAAGTTCATGTGGATGTAAACGCAGGCGTCCCAATACTTTTGACAATATAGTGTACATTAGATGACATTTGCTTAATTTGATCATTTTTTAGCTCAGTGGAGCAGTGATTATATGGAAACAGTAGACATCTGTTGGAGACCAAGTGAAGAACAGATTGATTCTGCATAGACAGGCCCACAGCAGATGACCAGCTACATGGGGGCAGCAGAGCAGCAAGGACAGCTAGAAACACCAGCACAGGTTGGGTCCGAAGAGACTGACCTGTGACAACATGTTTAGGAGACCACTGGCCAATAGATTTGTCTCTTGGTCAGATTGTTCATGATTGATCTTCCCTGCATGTCTATGGCCACATTTAAAGAAACCTGTTCTTAAGCATCTATTTGGGTAAAGAAAGGGAAGTGTTAAAATTGCCAGATAACACTACAGATACCAAATGGTCCCTCTTAAATGAACAATAGTACAGACAGCGTCTGTACTTGCTTCTTCTATCTCTTGCTTTCAGTAAATTTAGTTTTTGAACTAATGCCAAAAATAATGTTGTCTTGCATTTACTAAGTGGTATTGTAAAGGAATTCCCTTGAGACGACTGGTGAATAGATGTGCGCATGCGCACAGAAATGCACGATCACGCACACGCACGCACGGCGAAGATTGGCGCCAGGCGGACTATTTAAAAGGTGCCTCTGCCTGTGCTGAGTGCTGACTGGTCTTCAGCTGTTTCCTGTTTCCTGCTCATTCCTGTGTGTGATTTCCTTGTTGCTGACCCTTGTTCCTGACATGACTCTTGATTACTCTCCTGCTTGATACTGGTTCCTGACTTCGGCTCTACTCCTGACTTTGGCTTGCTTATGATTTGGTACCTCGCTGTCTGCCCGTTGATGACCCCGGTTATTCCTTTGACACTGCTCCTGTCTCTCTTCCTGCTTCCTGCCTTTCTCTGGTGCTCACCTGGCGATCTACCATACCAGCTCTGCATATCACTACTGTGCCTGAATCGGAGGTTCATCAGTCTTCCAAGGTCACCAACTACAAGAGCTGCAAACAACATCTGCTGGCGTTCTTGTCCCCCTGGTCCCTAGACACACTCTGTTCCACTTCCAGTGAGGTCAGGGCTAGTGACACAAGTGAGGCCGACCCCGTCATTTCAGTCTCCAATCAGGTATGTGACAGGTATACAGTGGTAGGCTCACAATTAGGTAGTTTGAGCACTCAGTCTCCACTCTTACTCTGTAAATAGGGCTGGAGCTTGGCAATTTCCATTTTGTATCCTTTGGGTTTGCCTAGCCGAAGACAGCTGACAGGTAGGTGCCAAAAAAGAAATTAAGATATTATGTAGTAAGACAAAGACCTAGCCTGAGACCGCAGAAGATAACGTAGAGGCAAAGTTCAAGCAGTGTATGTGTGTAGTCACTGGCTAAGCAAACTTTTATGGCAGACTGCAGAGAGAGAAACAAGGATGTCCAAGGACAAGTGTTCAAATAAAAATTGGAGCAACTGGACAGAAAATATTGCAGATTATGACAATAATCTTGTGAGAGGGTGTGGATGCAATAGTGTGTGCTGGTGAACAAGCCAATGGGTAACATGAATGACAGGTGGTACTTCATGAGCAGTAAGCGGGGACTGCTGGGCTATCATGTACTGCAAAATGCATACATCGTAAAGCCAATGGCTCAGTCAATTGCTCTAAGTCAGGGGTCTCCAAACTTTCTAAACAAAGGGACAGTTTATTGTCATTCAGACTTTAGGTGGGCCGGATTGTTGCCAGTGGTAGTAGAAAATGCTGCAGCGTCAGAAGAAGCAGCCATACCTCAGCTTTGGGAGTAAAAAAAATTAACATAGCACCTTTGGTCAGTAGAAGGAGGAATAGTACCCCATCACTGATAATGGTTCCTCATCATTGGTGTCTGTGGGAGGAATAGTTCCCTATCATAGGTGATGAATTGCAGGAATAGTGTCCCATTTTTGGTGTCCCATTTTTGGTGCCAAAGGGAGTAATAGTGCCCCATCAAAGGGCCAGTCATTGGTGTTAGTGGGATGAATAGTGCCAAATAACTGGTATCAGTGGGAGGAATAGTGCTTAATCATTTGTATAAGTGGGAGGAATAGTGCCCCATTCTTGGAATCAGTGGGAGGAATAGTGTTCCATCATTGGTATTAGTGGGAGGAATAGTGTCCAATCATTGGTATAAGTGGGAGGAATAGTGCCCCATCATTGGTATAAGTGGGAGGAATAGTGCCCCATCATTGGTGTCAGTGGGAGGAATAGTGCTTAATCATTTGTATAAGTGGGAGGAATAGTGCCCCATCATTGGTATAAGTGGGAAGAATAGTGTCCAATCATTGGTATAAGTGGAAGGAATAGTGCCCCATTCTTGGAATCAGTGGGAGGAATAGTGTTCCATCATTGGTATTAGTGGGAGGAATAGTGTCCAATCATTGGTATAAGTGGGAGGAATAGTGCCCCATCATTGGTATAAGTGGGAAGAATAGTGTCCAATCATTGGTATAAGTGGAAGGAATAGTGCCCCATTCTTGGTATCAGTGGGAGGAATAGTATCCAATCATTGGTATCAGTGGGAGGAATAGTGTCCCATCATTGGTATTAGTGGGAGGAATAGTGTCCAATCATTGGTATAAGTGGGAGGAATAGTGCCCCATTCTTGGTATCAGTGGGAGGAATAGTGTCCCATCATTGGTATCAGTGGGAGGAATAGTGTCCCATCATTGGTATCAGTGGGGAGGAATAGTGTCCAATCATTGGTATCAGTGGGAGGAATAGTGTCCCATCATTGGTATCAGTGGGAGGAATAGTGCCCCATCATTGGTATCAGTGGGAGGAATAGTGTCCCATCATTGGTATCAGTGGGAGGAATAGTGTCCAATCATTGGTATAAGTGGGAGGAATAGTGTCCCATCGTTGGTTGGTATCAGTGGGAGGAATAGTGTCCCATCGTTGGTATTAGTGGGAGGAATAGTGTGCCCCAATCATTGGTATAAGTGGGAGGAATAGTGTCCCATCGTTGGTATCAGTGGGAGGAATAGTGTCCCATCATTGGTATCAGTGGGAGGAATAGTGTCCCATCATTGGTATCAGTCGGAGGAATAGTGTCCCAATCATTGGTATCAGTCGGAGGAATAGTGTCCCATCATTGGTATCAGTGGGAGGAATAGTGCCCCATTCTTGGTATCAGTGGGAGGAATAGTGCCCCATTCTTGGTATCAGTGGGAGGAATAGTGTCCATCATTGGTATAAGTGGGAGGAATAGTGCCCCATTCTTGGAATCAGTGGGAGAAATAGTGTCCAATCATTGGTATAAGTGGGAGGAATAGTGTCCAATCATTGGTATAAGTGGGAGGAATTGTGCCCCATTTTTTGTTTCAATGGGAGGAATAGTACCCCATTTTTTATGTTGGTGGGAAAAATTATACCCCATTGTTAGTGTCAGTGGAATTGGGAGGATGTGCCACTGTTGGTTTCACTGGAAGGAATGGTGCCTCATTTTTGTTGCCAGTTGGAGAAATAGTACCTTGTATCAGTTGGAGGAATGGTGCCCCAAGGGCTGGATAAAAGCAAGGAAAGGGCTGCATCTGGCCTGTGGGCCGCACTTTGGAGACCACTGCTGCAAGCTATTGAGTTGTGCATACACAACTGCTACTTTAGTCGAAATTTTTGTCCTTTCAGGCTTCAATTTCTGAAAACTTTCTGGGCTGCCTAAGGTCTCTTTCTCAGAAGAGCGATTTATTTTACATTTTCAATCCCCTTATGACTTGAATAGGTAATTGATTAGTTATGCTTACAGACTTTCATATCATTTGTATTAATCTTCCCGATCTACTAAAATAAGAAAAATTGGATTTGAGTGTGATCAGATTCCCAAATCTCTTCTGTGGAATGAGTCATACTCGAGCCCCTCTGTCTGATTTACTGGGCCAGTTTGTATTTGTCATGGTAATGAAACTGGAATGTCATCTGCGGTGGATACATCAGGCAATATTTAGCAATGTATCTCCAGCAACGTTAGAAACATCATACAAATGCAATATCTGATATCTCCAGAAACATTTAGAAAGTTATAAGAAATGTCTTTCGTATGCGATGTTGTAGAAAGCTGCCAGACTACATTAGTATCTGCCATTTCTTTTCTCACTATAGTTCTTCTATAGTAATCCAATGAAAGACTGGATTTTGTACCAAATTCCTCACTGAACATTAATGTCTAAAGCTGTCGTAGCAGACATAATAACAACTAATGCATTGTACTTATGTCGGGACTTTAAATTCCAGCGGGCTTTAGCCTTCTCCATCAGTGGATTTTGGTCTTGACAGCGAATTTCTAAAGCTCACGATCGCTTTGTTTCGTCAACATTTTTCTTTATTTCTCTCGAGACCAGATATACATTTTATGTAAGGAAAAAGTTGAGCACTAAAACAATAGTAAAAGTTTACCTATACTTGGAGGTTCTATTATAGAAGTATATTAAAGCCAATTTCCCGGCCAAACTTTTTTTTTTTAAAGGTTCTGTCTTCAGATTTCCACAAGAGCTGGATCATTCACAAGGCAAAATAGGCAAAAAGCAAAGTACGTCTCCATCACCTGTGAGCAGTAGCAAATTTTGATTTCACTATGAAGAGCCAGATGGATAGCTGTTACTATACAAGGAAACAGACCAATTTGTAGGAAATTGCAGCTAGTCCACCAAAGATTCCTCCACCCTTTCCTTACCAGTGTAGCCACATGAGGTTGCGTGCTTCTCCATAACTAGAAGTAATGTATACTTTGTTCCCTTGTGTGGCAGTAAAAGAAATGTATCTGCTTCTGGGGTACCAGGTTTATTAGCTCCCTTATGGTCTGTTCAAGTGTTATTAAACCCACAACAGTACAATCAGTCTGTATATGCAGTAGATCATATTTACTGAAATAGTTGCATTTCCATGTTCTGTGTACTGTGGGAGGCCAGATATAGTGAATGCAGGGTCCTGGGTGTAGTAACACTGTAAATCAGTCTGTATATGCAGTAGATCGTGCTTGTTACACTCACTGTGGAACATAAGGGGTTAATTCTCAACATTGGCTGATTGATCATGTCTTCTCTGATCCTCCCCTTCTTTCAGAGTCCCAAATCCATCTGCTGATAGTACAGAGCCCTAGGAGGCCTTCTGCACATGCTCAGTTTGGTGTGTATTGCTAGAGAGTTTTTTTTGCTTTGGGAGGGAGCATGTGGTCGGCACAGGGCCAATCAGCATTGTCCAGACAGAGGGTCAAGGGTTATGCAGCCTCTTATGACTTTCAGAGGGGAATTAAAACTCCTCCTACAAGATTAACCAGTGCTCAGCCAGACACTGATAGAAGCTGCTGATGAAAAAAGGTATTTAGCAGATTATATTTACTGAAATAGTTGCATTTCCATGTTCTGTGTACTGTGGGAGACCCAAAATAGTGAATGCAGGGTCCGGGGAGACCAGATATATTGAATGCAGGGTCCGGGGAGACCAGATATAGTGAATGCAGGGTCCTGGGAGACCAGATATAGTGGATGCAGGGTCCTGGGAGACCAGATATAGTGGATGCAGGGTCCTGGGAGACCAGATATAGTGAATGCAGGGTCCTGGGAGACCAGATATAGTGGATGCAGGGTCCTGGGGAGACCAGAGATATGGATGCAGGGTCCTGGGAGACCAGATATAGTGAATGCAGGGTCCTGGGTGTAGTAACACTGTAAATGCACCATTGAAAATTTATATTTTCAACAAGTGCAAAAAAAAAAATAAAGTACATTCACCCAGCCATAAATCTTGTGAGCTAATAACTTGTGTTTTCTGCCTTTGGACTGTTATCTGTTAGGATTATTCCCTGCTATCTCCATTGACTAAAACACCTCCCCCTGTGAGGAAGAGCAGAGAAAGCCGAAGGTGTTATGGAATCCTAACAGTGTCATGTAGTCCTAGCATATTCTATGTCCTAGGGCAGGGGTGTCAAACTGGTGGCCCTCCAGCTGTTGTGAAACTACAAGTCCCATCATACCTCTGCCTTTGGGAGTCATGCTTGTAACTGTCAATCTTGCAATGCCTCATGGGACTTGTAGTTTGGCAACAGCTGGAGGGCCACCAGTTTGACATCCGTGTCCTAAGGTGACAAAACTGCTCAGTATAGATGTCACCCTAGGACACAGATGTCAAACTGGTGGCCCTCCAGCTGTTGCCAAACTACAAGTTCCATGAGGCATTGCAAGATTGACAGTTACAAGCATGACTCCCAAAGGAGTCATGCTTGTAACTGTAACACTTTACCAGGTTAAAGTGGTTCTAAAGGCATTTTTACTTTTTTGCATTCTCTACATCAAAGTAAAAAAAAACAACCTTTCAATAGCAGCTTCCCACAACCCCCCCCCCCCAAAAAAAAAAAACCTCTCAAATCTAGCGTTGTCTCATCTGCAGCAGTTCTTTTCCCCTCTTCCTGTGTTCCTGGAGGCTCTGACTGCAGTGGGATCCATTGGCCCCTGCTGCTGCCAATCATATCCTGTGGGGAAGGAGCAGGGGGCGTGGCTGAGCTGCTCTGTGTGTTTATGGACGCACACAGCCCGGCTCGGGAGTACTCTTGAATGAGTGCCAGCAGCTGCCTTGCTATGAGGGCACTGATAGAAGATGTAGAGTGGAGAGCACCGATGGGGAGCCTCATAAGAGGAGGTAAGGGGGCCACTGTGCAAAACCATTGCAGGTAAATGTAAAACCACTTAAAAAAATAGTAATGCAGAAGTCACATCTGGCAAGCTGCAATACTATCAATTTATGTCCTTAGTTTGAGATAGAATATACAGCTGAACTCTGGTAAAACCACTAACTACACAGATGAAATACATGTGTTTTACTTTCCAGAGGGTATTTCTCTCCATCCAGTCCTGAGATTTACACAACTCTGTTAAACAACACAGCCTTGTCTGGCTGCAGTTAAGTTGCACTTACAGGTGTTGTCCCTTCCCCAGTCTGTGAATGGACAGTAAAAGGCAAAGCTGCACAGTGATGAGATTACCTCTGTCACTCTGCTCTCTCCTCCTATCAGCACGTTTCTTGGGAGCACAGGAGCACATCAGCTCAGTTGATTGGCTCCTTCAACTGCTTCTCTTGAACTCTTTTCCTAGTCGATATCAAGGGAAGTTCAGGTACTTTACACTACTTGCATTTAAATTGAATTATGTATTAATGAATATCTGCAATCATTTTTGCAGTTTACCTGTCTGGAGTGCAGCCTTTAGACACATCGTTAAGTAAAACTTTTAAACTTTTTTTAATACATGGAGGTGGAGGTCTTCTTTAAAAAATTGCTTGGCAATAATTTTTTCAGGCTTTAATCCTGCTAGGGTGGCAGAGCATAAACAAACGCAACAAAGTGCTAGTTCTGCTTTGAATTTACTTGAAATGAGTCGATGTGATTGATGAAATGCTATTTTATAACTTAACACATTAAGAACAGTACAAAAGTTCAGATCTGTAAACTGCATGGTGTGGCACATTCAGCCCCATTGCCAAGGCCTGTTTAGAAATATATCTGCCATGGTCTTAGAATGATTTCTCTGGCATAGAATAAAATATTGCACATGATTTCAAGCGAAAAGCTTTTCTTTTTTTTTTCTTATTTTAACATGAGATAATAAACAACGCTAGCAACTTGATAACTGGCAGAACATTCCATATTCTTCTTACTTTGGAGACCTTTTTCATTTGGGTTTGGCAGCCGTTACTGACGCTGGAATCTACAGCCGGTTAGACACTGGCCAAATCCATTTGGTTGTTCCCTACAAAGCCAACACAACCTCCTGAGAAGATTTTTTTTTTTTTTTTCTTCTGGAACAAAGCTTGGTTATTAAAGGTTTCAGATTGTAAAGATTACGTTATTATTACTGATTGCCGGATGGAAAACAGCTTCTTAAAGCTACAAAATAAAAATACAGTTAAAGCACAACAACTGTTCAAAAAAAATGTATGACTGCTTTTTAGCACTGCAGCACACCAGAACACATAGTATGCGGATTATGGTGTGCTGCGGTGCATTGTACAGAGACTTGGGGTGCCATCCACAATGAATGACACCATGACACTGCATATAGAGTAGCCGTGTGTTGCAGAGAAACACAAATGTGCATGGGCCATTAATTGTAGATGTACTACACACATCCAAAAATATTCATTAAAGTACACAGGATAGGTATTATTAAAGTGGTTCAAAAGCCTTAAGGTTTTTCACCTTAATGAATTCTATGCATTAAGTTGAAAAACTTTCTGTGCTGCAGGATCACCCCAGCCCCACCATATACTTACCTTAGCCCAATCCAGTGATGTGCATGAGAGCAACGGCTCTCACCGCTGTCTCCCTCCTCCCTGGGCACATTCATAGCAGTGGGAGCCATTGGCTTCCACTGCTGTCACTCATATGCTGTTCTGATGTAGCAGGGGTCAGGGCCGAGCTGCCCGCTCTGTGTGAATGGACGTAGGCAAGGAGGCTTGGGAACGAGCCCGCATGGGTGCCCTCGTAGAAAGTGCCTTTCCACTTTCTATGCAGAAGAAGCCCGGAGCGCCGACGGGAGACCCCAGAAGAGAAAGATCAAGGCTGCTCTGTGCAAATTGCACAGAACAGGTAAGTATACCATGTTTGTTATAGTAATTTCGCTTTAACCTTTGCAGTGTGGGCATAGCCCCTCTGCAAGGGGTCATTTAAAATTTTCCCAGAGTTGGACTTAAAGTGTTTGTTACCACATTTCATATTCCTGATATGTGTATACTGTACCACAGGGCTTGAAAAAGCCGCTCGCCAAATGCGAGGAGAAATTCCTCTGTGGCGAGCGGTGAGCACAGATGAAGCATGGAGCGACTGCACCTGCGCTCCAAGCCTCATTGTGAAGCCGAGTTCCGGTTTACAACTTCCGGTTTCCGGCTTCTGCGGCACTGCCGCTGAGGGGACAGTGTAGGAGAGGTCCGCTCTGCTCCGCTGAGAGGAGACACCCTCTTCACCGCCGCGGGGGACTCGGGGGGGACAGTAAGTACTGTATACAACATGTACTATCACTATAATGGAGTACAGGGCAGCTGGGATATACATTACTGTATACATGCCATATCACGTATAATAGTCACTATAATGGTCATATACAGGGGAGCTGGGATATACATTACTGTATACACGTCATATCACTATAATGGAGTACAGGGGAGGGGGGATATACATTACTGTATACACATATCATATACACTATAATGGAGTACATGGGGAGGGGGATATACATTATACATTACTGGAGGGGGGGATATACATTACATGTCATATCACTATAATGGAGTACAGGGGAGGGGGATATACATTACTGTATACATGTCATATCACTATAATGGAGTACAGGGGAGCTGGGATATACATTGATGTGTACAGTTTTATATTTTGGACTATTTATTCTAAAGAAAAATATAATTTCATAAGCTTTAAGGGGGCATGGTTGGGGTGGGGGCGGACAGTGGGGTTGGGGCAGACCTGGGCAAGGTTGGGTAGGGCACCTGGTGGAGAGTAAGTTTTGTGACCGGCTAGTAGGTCTGGACTCAAAATTTTAACCCCTGGTGTACCATGTACTTGTATTTAAAAGTTCTCTTTGTATTGTTTCCTTTGTGTAAAATCCTAGTACCCCTCCTTTCCTTTTTCAAGCTGACCATGCTAGGCATGAGAGCACTTCCTTCCAAGCGTAGTCAGTTTTCTGGTTGTGCTGGGAGGACAGTCTGCCAGTCCTCCAATAGTCAGACTTGTGCTCACACTCCCCCCTGATACAGTCATTTACTGGGAACGTCAGTGCACTGCCCCCAGCTCTCCAAACCAATTATGCAGCTGAGAACAGAGGGTATGTGATCACTTATAAAAAAAAAAAAAAAGAGGAAGGTATTTATAATGTTTTTATATGTATACAGAAACATTCTGCATTTAATTTCTATTTTAAAATGAATGGGTCCCAACCACGGCACCACCTGCCTGGAGTTTGCATGTTCTCCCTGTGTGTGTGGGTTTCCTCTGGGTACTCCGGATTCCTCCCACACTCCAAAGACATGATGGGAGGCTAATTAGCTGCTGTGTGGGTTTCCTCCGGGTACTCCTGTTTTACTCCTACACTCCAAAGACATGCTGGGAGGTTAATTGGATCCTGTCTAAATTGGCCCTAGTATGTGTATGTATGAATGTGAGTTAGGGTCCTTAGATTGTACGCTCCTTGAGGGTTAGGGACTGATATAAATGTACAATATATGTAAAGTGCAGCGTAAATTGATGGCGCTATGTAAGTACCTGTAATAATAATAATAATAAGTGCAGCCTGCTTGGTTGAGTCACCCATTGGCTTCTTGTATACCTAGCCACAAGAACCCCTTTTGATTGTTACTGGTAATATTTCTGATGATTTGGGGGTTTCCATAGACCTTTGTGAGATCCTCCTTCTCCTGATCTGTTTCCATAATACAAATAAAATGAAACATTTCTGTCAGCGAGAGTAGAACCCCTTGCAACAGCCTTGGCAGATCTGTGAACTCAAAGAATAGAGTTCTTGTCACCAGAATGGCTAAGGGATATAGCAAACCACTAGATGGTTTTATATTTCCCAGCATCCACCAAAACCTTAAATATCATATTTGGGTGGACTGACCCTTTAATCCATGCTATTAGTTTCAGATTTTTGAAAATGGCAGGTTCGCTCAAAAAGA